ATTTTGGTGGTAAATTCATGGTTATTGATGTTATTTTGAGGATTTGATTGCACGAGCAAGTCCGTATGATATTTTTAGGTTGGTGTACATGTTTGGTTTGGAGCCCCGAGGGCTCGGGTGAGTTTTGGATAGGCCGCGGAGTAAAATCTAACTTAGGAAAACTGCTGATATTTTTCAGACCTACAGGCTTCGCAATTGCGAGCTGGCAATTGTGATAAACCCATCTCATTTGCGAAGACTGGCTGGAAAGGGAACTTTCGCAATTGTGAAGCTTATGTCGCAATTGCGACCTTAGCAGGTTTTGTATTTGCGAACGATAGTTCGCATTTGCGAAGAAGACAGAATTGGGCATACTTCACAATTGCGAAGCCTTTGCTGTATCATCACAATTGCGATATCTGCGACCTGCAAATTCATAATTTAGCCGAAAATCTTTCATTTTTCAAACCCTTTCAAAACCAAAACACTCTTGGGCGATTTTTCAAAGACAACTTCTCTTCCAAATCAATTGTAAGTCATTTCTAACTCGTTTTCTTCAATCTTTAATATCTTTTCACGTGATTTCAACTCAAAATCAATGATTTTCATGGGAAAAATTGGGTGTTTTGGGTAGAACCTAAGTTTTTCAAATTTTAGTGATTTGGACTTCGATTTGAGGTCCAATTTCAAAATAAATTATATATTTGGGTTCGTGGGGGAATGGGTAATCTGGTTTTGGTTCGAACCTCGGGTTTTGACCATGTGGGCCCGGGGGCAATTTTTGATTTTTTGGGAAAAACTTTAGAAAATCTATTTTCATGCATTGGAGTTGAATCATTTAGCATTTATTGATATAGTTAAGTAACTTGTGGCTAGATACGAGCGAATTGGTGGTGGAATCAAGAGGTAAAGCGATAGTTGAGGCTTGAATTGTGTTCGTGGCATCGAGGTAAGTGTTTGGTCTAACCTTAGCTTGAGGGATTAGGAGTCGGGTCCTATTTGCTATGTGTTATTTGTTGAGTACGACGTATAGGCATGGTGACGAGTATCTATACGTCATTGTCAAGCATGCCCGTGAGTCTTAAATTGAAGTCGTTATGTTCTTAATAAGTACTACAAATGCCTAAGTTGTTGATTCTCTGTGTTGGGCAAGAATTATGATTATTATCGTGGAAATTGCTTATGGTTGAGTGTTGGTGATAGATGAGGTTCTTTTTGTGAAGTTAAATGTTGGAACAAGTTTGGTTATAGCTGATTCCCTTGCCGGGACGTATGAACTTCTTATTGTCGTTTCCCTTGCCGGGATATTGTTTTTCCCTTATTGTTCCCTTGCCGGGACATTGTTGTCTCCTTATTGTTCCCTTGTTGGGACTCTTTTGTGATTGGTGTTGAATTGTATATTGGGATCGGGTTGCATGCCGCAACAATATTATATTTGGATTGGGTTGCACGCCGCAACAATAATATATTTGGATTGGATTGCACGCTGCAACAATATTATATTTGGATCGGGTTGCATACCACAACAATATTATATTTGGATCGGGTTTCACGCCGCAACAGTGATATATGATATAGATCGGGTTGCATGCCGCAATAGTGTTTTTATGATTCGGATCGGGTTGTGTGCCGCAACAGTAAAGAATAAAAGTAGATATTGATTTGTTACTATTTCCTTATTCTTTCTGCTATGAATTTTAAATTGTCCTTTATGTTTTTCTCCTGAGTTACTGTTGGTAAATGATATCCCCCACAATATGTTCTGTTCCCATCTTTAACTTCTAGTTTTCTTTTTTATTACTTGCTACGTATATATGCTTTAACTGCACAGGTTTGTTTGGTAGTCTGGTCCTAGCCTCGTCACTACTTTGCCGAAGTTAGTCTAGGCATTTACCAGCACATGGGGTCGGTTGTGTTGATACTACACTCTGCACTGTGTGCAGATCCCGGAGCAGCAGCATTCGGACCTTAGCTTGGGTGGTTGCCTTCAGTCCATACGGAGATCGAAGGTAGTCCTGCAGGCCCTGGCGTCTCTCTCTATCTTTTCTTCCTGTTTCACTTATGTAATTCAGAAACAGTATTGCATTTATTTTTCGGACCTTGTTTGTAGAATTCTTAGACCGCCTAAGGAGTTGTGACACCAGTCTTGGGTAGTTTTGATTAAGAAATCATGTTGGAATTATTTAAATGGTTTAATTGTTTCTTCCGCTTGTTTTAAATTTTCGTTGTTTATAAACAGTTGATTTACATTGTTAAAGAATTAAAATGGGAAAAAGGTAATTTGTTTAAATGGTCGGCTTGCCTAGCTTTCACTAGTAGGTGCCATCACGACTCATGAGGGTGGGGAAATCCGGGTCGTGACAGAATTGATAAAGGTTTAATGCACATTAGCATTTATATGCACAATGCATCAAATTAATAACATAAACTCATGAAAAAAAAGGAAAATGCATAAGTACCTCCCTGACCTATACCCGGATTTTCAACTACACACTTTTTCTTTGCGAGAATCCTATTATCCCCCTAAACTTATTTTAAATGGAATTATTTGCATCCTTAACGCTGACGTGGCAGAGTGTGTGTATTTCACTCTCCCAAAGGAGAGTGAGAAGCAAGAAAAAACGATTTTCAAATTATTTTTTATTCTTTTTTACCATTTTTTCTTACTTTATTTTTTCCTTTTCCTTTTTCTTTGTTTTTTTCTTTTACTTTTTTCGTTTCTTCTCTAATTCCGGCAGATATTGATTCACCGGCGACTTTGTCTAACCGTTTTTCTTCCATTTTTTCTTTTCACACACAAATTAAACTCTCAAAAAGATCTATTGATAAGCAAAGCAAAATACACTCAGCTTATATTCGTTTTTATTTCTTTTGCTCTTCCCCCCACACATAAATTACACTTTCAAGAAAAATTTATATATATATAAAACAAAACATACTTAGATCGGGATAAAAATCTGTCGCCGGAAAAAATGGTGTTCGTGAAATTCCGACAACCACCATTTTGTGCCGCCTGTAACAGAAACAAAAAGAAAGAGAATGAAATAACAAAAAAAAATGAGAATAATAAGAAATAATAAAAAAGGATAAGAAAAAGAAGAAAGAATAAAAAAAGTATTAAAATACATGTGGGGGCGTGTGTAGCTCACCACTTGCCAAGAGTTTGGTTGTCAGCGTTAAGGGTTCAAATAATTACATTTAAAATAAGTTTAGGGGGTAATAGGATTCCCGCAAAGAAAAAGTGTGTAGTTGAAAATCCGAGTATAAGTCAGGAGTACTTATGCATTTTCCCAAAAAAAAGCTTAAATTTCATTCTATTGGAGATGTTATATTATTCACATCAAACATTAAAAAAAAAAAAAAACTTAATGAAAGAAGCTACCCAAAAACTTTTGAATACTTGAAGAAAGAAAATAAATTTATTGGCTGGCGAACAAGAAATATTTTTTTAATTATATAATCATTAATATAGGTACACAAGCAAAGCGCATGACTTAAAACTATAATTTGCACAAACACTACAAAAAGAAAGACTACTCCAAAATATTGTTTTACAACAAGTAAATACTGAAACAAATCGGAGGAAAAATTACTAAAGTGGATCTATAAACCAGACGTGACGTGATTAACATTTAGTATTTGTAAGAACTCGCAAATTTCTGTTAAGTTTTATTTTAACGCAAAACTGTTTTGAATATTATTTATGTTATTCTTAAGAAGTTAGTTATATTATTGATATTTGTGCGTACCTAAAACTAGTTATTATACCAATAATACGTAGTCATTTCCATAAAAGATAGGAAAACAAACATGATAAGAAAATATAAACATATTCGTAACCGACGATGTAATCACAATTCCCTTGGGAGTGGGATCAATTTGACATCATTGAACCTTAATTGAGTTTAATTAGGATTCTCTGTAGGTTTCGACCGCATCCTTGTCTTTGGTTTTCTTCTATTCTATATAAGAGGCTAATCATGCACCAACCAACTAAGTGTTAGTAGTAACCTTGGACCCTTAGTTGTGTTAAGGTGGAGCATAATGGCCGCATCACCTGCATTAGGAAGATTTGTGGAGAGTAGGCAAATACGTTCAGGAGGATGTTGATACGTCTCAATGTTTAAACACAACCCGAATTACGATTATGCGAACGACAGCGATGAGGAGCTTTTGCCCGACGGCGCTTTGCTGGAGCATCGCCCCCTATTTGGTCCAGTTACTACAGCCAGATTGAGCAAAGCAATGGTTTTTATATTTATGACTATCCCGGTATGTCTAGCCTGGCTGGAATAGTACCATACCCGGAGTTCAATGAAGAGGCTGAACTACTGTCTGAACTTGCTAACCGTGCTATTCAGGAATATATAATGAGAAAGAATGCAATGTTTTTAAGTACAGGTTGTTGAAGATTGAGAAAGTGAACACACAACTGACCGGATACCATGAATATTTCATGACTGTTAAGCTCTTAAATCTCACCCCTGCTACTCCTATCGAGACTTTTCAAATACATGCTGCGAAACGTGTCTTTAATAATGATAAGTTTATTCTCGGTTGCCGGCCAAAAGAAGAGGCAGTTGATGGCTGAATGGAGACGCAAGTTTCACCACAGAAAATTAAGGAGAAGCCACTTGGACTATAGTTTTTAAAGTTATGATTTTGAGATTTCCGTCGTTTGTAATTTTAAGCGTTTTACTTTGATATGTGATCTGACAGGCCTCTATGTTTATCGAAGTTTCTGATTATATTATGCGTTCAACTATAATTTTCTAAATTTAATCGTAGTCTAATTGACGAGCTATCGTAGTCTAATTGACGAGCTATCGTATTTGCATACTTATTGTCTACCTCGCTCACCCAAAAAAATGAGTGCGATAAGAGGTGTTAAACTTTAATTATATTTCTTAAATGAGTTCTAGTTTAGTTGTCGCAATATGTTTTTCACTTGAACAAAACAATTGACCAGATTTTCAACCGGAAAGCAAGGATGTCATCCCCTTACTCAATATCCTGGAAAATTTTCAAGAAATATCTTATCAAATAATCTCAGTTGATCTTTAATAAGTATTCAATTATCTTTGATTATCATATACAAAAACATATGCCCATCAACATCATTATCATCAGGTTATGTTGATTCAAACCCAATCAAGAACTCATAATATATCCTTTGTCTTGTCTTTTTTCACATCTGAGCAGTATTAACTGCATCACATCTCCTCCTCACCTCTCCTTCATTGCCAATTTTAACTTGATAAATATTAAGCTTCTCCATGGCATGAGCAAAATCTATAGAGAAAACCTGGCTATCATTTGCATATTTCTCAACAAATGGCCTTGTCCTTGGATCACTCAAAAGCAATTGATCAGAACCAACAACTCCTAAACCCTTCATCAAATTCTTGAAAAACATGTTATCAAAAGTGCCAGGGGTTATCACATCTAGGAAGGCTGCCATATCAGTGTTAGTCGTATAATTCGCGCACATTCCTCTCAATCTTTCTGCCAATTTGGGATTCATTGTTGGGTCAGGAGTGCCAAAAATTCGATTAGCAAACTCCTTGCAATGAACAAAGCCAATAGTATGTCCACCTCCAACTAATGCAACCATTTCTTGGATGTTGAAACCTAGACCTTGGAATTTTTTGATCATTTGATCTATTGTTTCATTTGCACGGGGTAATTTTCCTTCTACACTTGAAGCTTGGGAAACAAGGCTGTCTTTTCGGCCTAGAGGTACTTTATAGTGAGGTCCACCAGTCATAACAACAAGATTCCTTGTAGTTGTGGCAAGAATATCTGCACAAGATACAGTGCCAGGGCATGCAAGCTCAAGGCCGGTCTTGATACGTGAAATGAGATCGAAACCATCACCTGCAAGGGAGTGGTTGATGTCATGCTCGAGCTCGGCTTTGGTGAAGGCTGTTGGCTTGATAAGGACAGAGGCATCACAACCATCCACAACACAGTCATGGAAAAAGAGACGTAGGGTAGCAGCCGCGGTGACAGGGAACTGCTGTTGCTTTTGGAGGACAACATCCCTAACAATTTCATCAAATTTAGGACATGTTTTGGCATAGTAGTCCAAAGTGAGGGTTGATTGGGTGAATGGAATGGAAGTAAATGATAAAAACAAGTGGAGGAGAATCCATGGCAAAGCCATGGTTGATTGAAAAAAAAAAACTGCTCCCTCTCAAAAGGGGGAGAGAAAAGCTGGACCAACTTGATACGAGAAAAGTAAAGAATGCTAAGAAGAAGAAAGAAGGTGAAAGTGGAGAAGAATGGGGAATGTTGTGGTAAAGAGAGGTCTTAGGGAAAGGACGACTCCATTTTCATTCATGGGATTCTGTGCTGATAATTTTCCATGGCTGGATTTCAGCTGAACATGAAATGCGGTTGGCCACATTTTTTTTTTTTTTTTTTTTTTTTTTTTTTTTTTTACGCGATGCGTGACGCCCAGGAAGACGTGCCCTCGGCCACTTGATTTGAATGGTGTAATACCTTTTGTTTCATTTTATTTAAACTTAAACCAGTTTTTAAAGGTGCATACATTTTTATTCTATTTTGGTGATATCACACGCTTGTCCGTGAAAACATTTTGATTGCATCTTGACTCTTTTACAGAGTATACCTGCATTTTCTCACAAGTATCTAGTAACTTGCCCACCAAAATGTAGGCAAATAGGAAAAAGTTTAACTAAATCATTTTCTTTGCTCATAAACCGCTAGGCCAGACACTTGGTTGACATTGATTTTTGATATAATTGAAAGGATGCTATGCAAAATTTACCACCAACACAAAACAGATAAACAGTTGGAAATGTAATAGCACTGTATATCCTGCTCACTGTAATTAAACGGCAGAATATTGCCAACGAAATCACTTTACAATGGAAGGCTACTTACCTCTTGATCCATTTACTACTGTTCCATTTTAATCACCCTTGGTTTTTCTATATTCTGAAAAGGCTCCAAGTCCCCCAACAAACTTAGGTGCGTCAATAAATTACCAGAATAGGGAGAAAAAGAATCGGTCTGAACAACATTTCTTAGTTAGGTAGCCATCTCATCAACTTCAGAATGAAATACAAAACTTGGAAAAGTAGTAGTTATATCCCTGCATCAAAGAAAAGAAAATTCTCATCAGACAATGTCCTCCATCGAATATATTTATGTTCACCACATATCCAATAACAAACATGATACCTCAGATATGAAAGGGTCATTATTTTCAATAATGAAGGATTTCGGCCCACAAAATTGTGCCACTCAGAGTTGTCAATCTTTCCGTCCTGATTTGAATCTGCCTCCAAAAATGTCTGCACATTGAAATAACATTGACTAGTTACTAAAGTTCCACCAGACACGACTATTAGTTGTGCAAATGTCCAGCAAGGTGAAAGATTTTGTTATGGCTAGTTCCAATATGCTATTCTTGGTTGAGAGGCAAGGATCCAATGACATATTAAAGTGATACAAAATGCAAACTGAACGCATTGGTTCACTTTATCTTATCAAACAGAAGGGCAGAGGTACCAACTTTATGGACTAGGATGATGGAAACTTATATTGGCTATCATCAGTAAATTACCTTATCCAGTATTATCTCAACGATCTCGTCGGCCAACTTCATCTCAGACTCGCATAGAATTGCAATTAACATTTGCTTTACCTGCCAAAATCACAGATAATACTAAAAATTAAAACATGAGGTAAATGTGATTTCATCTCTGTATAACCATTCATCAGACACTGCTTTGAACTCGGAAGGTGAAAGTAAGCAAATATCAAATGACTGCTTCCTCCAAATTCCAAGATGGCTAAGAACTTGAGTAAGGGGGTGGTTACAGTAAGCAAAGAGTACACAGCCAATAAGTGACTTGAAGTGCAATAAATGCCTGGAAAATGCCAGTCTCTAAGTCTTCCGTAGAAGCTGTTATAACTTAAAGGAAGAGAAGAACAACTAGTAGATAACAGCAGCAGAGTGAGAAGTGCACGGTCTTAAACATCAAGAAAGAATATAAGGTTCAACTTTTGTCTCTGACCTAGAGCCCGTTTGGATTGGCTTAAAAAAAGTGGCCTTTTAGCAGAAATAGCTTTTAAGCCAAAAAGCAATAAGTTGGAGTTGCCCAGCTTATTGCTTTTGGCTTGTTTTAAACAGTTTTTTTAGTTATTTTAAGCACTTTTTGACTTTGTCAAACACTAAATATAGCTAAAAAGAGCTTAAAAGTTGTTTTGACCAGCTTAAAAGCCAATCCAAACACCTTCCTAATGATCATGGACCAATGAGACAGACAGGGTAAAAGACACATTCAGACTTCTTCCCTCCAAGTATACTTAGGTTGGCCCGTCTTAAGCAAAAAGAGTTGAAAATAAACAATCAACACTTATCGCTTTTCAACTAACAATAGCCGCAAAATTTGGCAACACTTATCACTCTCCACAAACACAGTAAGAGGAAAGGAATCTTAATTTGTTCAAAAGACAATAAAACTCATTTCTTTTTTTGTTTTCTTATTTATGTATCTTTTAAGAATGTGACAAGCTCCAACTTGCAACAAGCTAAAAATTACAAGATGCTTCTAGATGATTTGCAACACAGCGTGAATACAGACAAACTAGAATAGCATACCTCTTGCCGCTCGATGAACCCCGTGCCATCCAAATCATAAAGCCTAAATGAAACTGCAATGGCAGAATGATGAAGTTTCAATGTGACTATTTGGGTGCCAGTTAAGCATTTATTTGAAACATAAAAGAACTAAACAGTAATATTTATCTTTTATTTCACTCACAATTGATCTTCTCTTCTTGTGAGGCATTTGGGTGGAAAACTTTTAGTGCCCTAACAAAATCACCAAAATCGATAACTCCTTTTTGCTTTACATCAAAGAGATCAAAAATCTGCATGCAGAAATTTCAAGAGGCAAATTAATATATCATATCCCATTAAAAACAGTTCTGAGCTTTTACATGCAAATTTATATCAGCTTAGCTTAATCCACATCTTGATGAAACATCATAGGCGTTTGTTGATACAGCATATTAAGCTATAACCTGAATGCTAATTTTACTTTAAGCAATTCTTAAAAGCATGCTCAAACTGCCAGCTAGAACCAGCACTATATCAAAGAGGAAAAAACCAACGTACTCCATCAAAGAAGTAATCATACCCGATTTGCAAAAAGGTTTTCTTTCTTTCTGTTCTTGAATAAAGCCAACTGAAATTCTTCCTGCACCTCCAACGTGATTTTCACAAGCATAAGCACTAAAACAAGTACTTATAAGGGGAAAAATATTATCCTATAATACATCTTCAAAAGTTTCAGCAGAATTTGTTTACCACAAAACAATTTGATATTCTGTGTCGTTATTAGAAACAAAAAAGGAAAAGAGATGCAAGGATGAGATATAGTCTCCAAAGACAATAAACTTCATCAAATTGATACAGTAACAGAATTGCAAATGAAGCCATGTCATTCTCTGCAATGCGTAGCTTCGACTATCTATGGCAGTGCAGTTTACGTGAAAGAGCAAACTCCACCAAATATCTCCTGGAAATAACCTTTTCACTCTCGCAAAATTAACTTGTCATCTCATGATAGAGTAACCATCAGAAAAAGACAATTATGATTACTGTTGTAGCTGCGACAAGGAAAGTTTTTCCCACGCCTACCAAATGCCATGATTCAAGATACATCTAGTAAGATTACTCTTTTCCATCCCTTTCCATCGCTCAAGTAAAGTAGTCCATAACACTACCTTCTAACTTCAATTGAAGGTCAAAAGGAGAAAAAGTTAACTAATAAAGATGCCCGGCTGGATGATGAAACACACAGAACTTAGTCTAGTATTGAAGTAACTCATACAACATCCATCTGGAATGATGCAGCAGGAAGTCACAACCCCACATTGAGAGCCAGTAGGAGTATGTTTGGGCATTAAGGGAAGACTACCTTGCTAATTAGCCCATCATCAACTACCGAACCGCTAATATTCTTGAACAGCTCAAACAATGCCTCAACTTCGCTTACACTAACTGCAAAAGGGGAATTAACAAAGAGGAAAACACATAAGCAACTAAGCAAGGACATGCAAAAGGAGGTTTTGGGTAGTAGGAAAAAATAACAACAGCGTTCTGGGGTTTGAGTGGGAATAGATAAACAACTAAAATTATTCTGCGACAACCTATGGGATAACCAAATGACTAGACCTGAAGTTTGTAACTACATGAGACCAATGTCTTACTTGTCCAGCTTAGGGCACTTAAAACAATTAATAGATCGAACATATTGTAAGAGTAATTCAAAGAACCCAATGGGTACAGGTCAGCACCAACATGTTGCAAGCCTAGGTACCTTTCGACGCTACTAATTTTTAACATAACTCAAAAATAATAGTTTCATTTTAACCAATCATTGGATGATGAAAATTTTGTTTCATTGTTTTCAAAGTTCTAACTAAATTCTCACTCCAAATTATTATTCATGTTTCCAGGAACTTCTCAATCATTTATTTTCTTCTATCCATTTCCATGTCATCACAGTTAAGATTTTGATATGCAAATCTCATCTTGCTGAATAAAAGACGTCCTCAAGCTATATTTTCACATTTTAAGATAAGAAGCACCTCATCTCACACGAAGAGGCTACCTTCATAATACCAGCCATAAACATGGATTCAGCACCTTAAAAATGGAAAGAAAATCAGAATCAAAGGTCATTGCTTTTGACTTGCATTCACTTTTTCCAGAATTCAGAGGCAAGCTCAAATTGTATCAAATCAGATGCACACATTAAAATCACAATTGAAGAAAGATCAATAAATAACTCACAGGCTGTTTGAGATGCAAGGACTACAGGATCTTCGTGTCCAGGGAACTGCTTTTTTGCTGTAGACTGGAAACAGCCCATCTACTGAAGAAGGACGACAAACGAGGAAGAACACGACTAGACTAGTACCGAGCAACCAGCTTCACTACAATATATCATTGAAACCATCTTATCCATGCAATTACATGGCGCAAATTCAAGGGAGAGGAAAATATTGTAGTACTTAAAGCCAATTAAGCACAACTGTCTATAATACGTGCACATTCATAACCTAAAAAAAATGAGAAAGTACCAAGCTACAACCGGACATTATATTGACAGTGTAGAACATGAATCCTCTACCAAATTACGTATTCTTAAAGTGCAAACATCAAGTAGTATAAGAAAGGGGAAATTGAGGAACATACCGATCGATCCACTGAACAGACAAACAAAAAAGTTTGAGAAGGAGCTAGTTATATAGCAGCTCAAAAAGCAGGGGATTTATGGGTATATGATGTAAATATCAATGGCTATGAAGTTTTTGAATTGAAGGTAGCCAAATTGGAGAAAATGAGGGGCAAAACAAAAAGCAGTAGGGAGGGTGATGCGCACGCGGTTTCTAGATCGTGGAATTTGAGGGTTGTTAGCGCTAGACAAAAAGGAATATTCTATTTTTTTGTTTCTAGAAAGACTGGACTAAGTTACAAAAAAACTATTCGATTCATAGGAAAAAAAAATACTACTACTAATTAAGTTTGTCCATTGTATTATGGTTAAGCGTGAGAATAGATTGAGGTGAGAATTTTTTTGTAATTTTAATTTATATCTATATTTATATATATAATAATATTGGGAATAAACAAGTGACGTGGCAGGTTTCACATGCCAGGAAATGCATTTATCTTTTATCTCATTTTTTTGGGTTTTCTTCTCTCATTTTAATACAATAACTAATTATTAAATTAAAAAATTAGTCTTGTAAGTTGTAACTGTATCTCCATAATAATGAGGAAAGAGGGAGAAAGGTCTCGTTTCAAACTTTTGCCAAACTCATAAAACCTTTGGCCTTTCAGTTTCTCCAGTTTTAAAGGGGAAGGGTATCTTATATATAGAGAATATCCTCAAGCAATCATCTTATTGCCTCCATAAGGATTCTACTCCATCTTCGTCATTAAATTAATGTTGGTAAGAACTCGCTTTTGTTTCATATTCACTTTGAACATATTATAATGGTGACTCACAATTTTTTTCAATATATATTCTTCATTCGCATGTTTATGAGTCGATAACTACATTGTGTAGATTCAAAAGGTCCACAAACTTTTATAGCCCTGGATTTCGATGCCTCCAAGTTAAGAAATTTTGTGCCCAAGTGAGTTTGCAAGGAACTAAGAAAGGTATCATGATTTTTACTATCGAGCATTTTACTTTTTACTGCTAAGAGATCGTTGATGTAGAATTTCATGAAATACAATATAACATTTGTAATCAATACAATTCTAGGTATTGATTGAAAACAATATCTTTAAGGAAGGATTTGTTTTATGATTTGAGAAGGGAAGAAGTTGTTGACAGGCTTGGGAAGAAGAATGAAGTAGAGGTAACAGGAAAAAAAATTGGTATTATCATTATTTCTTTCTATTTTTTTATTTCTAATTAATTCCTTCTTCTTTCATTTTCCTAAAAGTATCTTTTTGTTTTATTTTTCGTATATATACTTTTTCTTTTACCTTAATTATTTTAAGAATCCCAAAAGTTAAACTTTGTAACTTTTGTTCCTTTCTATATCAAATTAAATTTATGATATGTTTAAATTTATTTCATTATACCTTTTTGGTAATTCCATTAGTAGGATTGTGCAGTGACCAGTTTCCACATAAATTTGGTCATAAATGAATAATGCAAGAGTTTTCTCTTTCTAGAAGGAATGGAGTGAAAAACATGGTTGTCCACCAGAAATGTGAAGCTCCAATCACTTATTTTAATGTCTTTACATTATCGCTTTTATGGGTATTGCTCAAAAGTTTTGGCAAGCTAAGATTATGGAATTATAAATTAGGGAGCACTATTTATTTGACATTGAAAATGAGGTAGCAAGCTTAATTAACCCTGATGTGCTTTTGAAAGTTTTTTTAATATTTCAAGGTTATGGATTGTTTTATTTTTCGCTGCTTTACTCTTCTTGGAAGTAATACTCTTATATATACTGTCAATTATAGACAGGCCAATCAGTATGGTGTTCAGAAGAGCTACCAAGACATCACCTCACTTTTTAGATTTTTTAAATAATAAAAACTTATGAAAGCATTAAAGTAAACTCACGAATGGAAGGAAAAAGTTAAATACTATACAAGTAAAGAACTTTCTTAGAATTCGTTAGCGATCTACATATAAAGAGATCAATGTTTCCCTCAAATTCATGTAACTTCTGATTGATATTAGAGCAAAATATAAACTTAAGTATTACTGATAAAATAGTTTGAAACTTGAAATATTATCTATTCGGATTTAAAATTCAAAATATTCATTAAAGTGAGACTATTTAGGTTTTTTAATTGATGCGCGAAGCGCGAATAAATTCACTAGTATCTATATAAAGTTGGACAATAAGTTACCTTATATGGCATTCTCATGTGGCAGCTTCTCTATTTATCTTTTTTCTTAGAATTTTGCCTTTTTCTTTTTATGCAACTTCTAAAAAGTATTGCTCTATTAGAAAATGCAACAATTACATCTTTAAGAAAGGTTGCTAATGTAACTGAATTTAATGTTAATTAATAAAAAAAAAATTGCACCTTTAATATTCCTTAACTTGGAAGAGGAATATTAAAGTCTCCGACAATTACCTGACTTATATATATGGCACCAATAGAGATATGCAGCAATTCATGCAAGATGTGAAGTGAAGTGAATCAAATCAGATATTCAGTCGAAACATAGTTATGGTCGATGGCTTTTCTAGCCACATTTCTTCCCTCACCAACTAGCCTTTCTCTAATAAAGGTACTTTTTCCGGGTTGAGTTTGGTTTCAACGGATCCTCCCTAAATGGAGAAACAAGACAACTTTGTTTGCCCCGGAAGAAAGAGAGAAATTATCGAAAATGTGTAATTGAGACTGAAAAAAAAGTTGGGCATTTTTCTAAAACTCCCAATTGTAGAACCGGTTGACACTAACTTTTTGTGCAATCAAATGCAAATTTCTTAAGAGATACTAACAAAAGTTTTCCCTTCCATATTTTAAATTTTATTTGTAAAATGCAGCGAATTGTAGCCTCTTTATAGAAGTTTTAGGGTGTTGCCTTTCTTCTTTAGTTGTCTCAAAGAAAGTCAATTACTTGAAAGAAAAAAACCAACTATGAGTATATCATTGAATATTTTGTAACAGAGAAATAACTAATATGTGGTTGTAACTCTATTATTTAATGTCGTGGCTATGAGAAGATTACATATATTCACTGGGTTGGCAATAACCAAGTGAAAATGAGGTTTGACGCAAACAAAAGTTGACTCACTTTTATACGATCTCAAAGTTTGATTTGATTAAGTGAAAATATGACATCTCTATTACACTAAATTATTTATTATCGAAAAAAAGGACGGTAATAATTTTTTTTTTGACAAGTTCTATAAGAATAAGCTTAATGCCTATGTAAATGAAATGTAATTACTCATGAACAATATTTGGCTCTAAATGTAGTCACTAATAAATAGATTATTATAGTAATTAATATTATTTATGAACAATATTTAACACCATTCAAAGGCTTACTTTACTTTGATTTTTAGACTACTAAAAGTTATGTGATGATTTTTTTGGATTTAATTTCTATTGTACTACTACTATCTCTTTCTGTTTTAAAAAATCACTTTGTAATACATTATTATCTTTCCGCACGAATAACGGACAATTTAACTAGTTTAGTAATAATACGTATTTAAATAGCACATGTTGTGCATTCGTAAATGTGATGTAAATTTTCGGGTGTGGACAATTTTTTTTGGGAATTGGTCCCTAATTCAAATATATTGAACTAGTGTGGTAGTAGTGGAATTAATTAATGAATAATATTATATACATACAGGCTCCAGCTAGCTTAAGGAGTGGGAAAACTGTTAAATATACCTTTTTAAAATTTGCTATTATTTATGTGGTGTTCATATATCATACTACTTTATATCATCTTGTATAACGTTATACTGTAGTTACACAAGGCTTAAAGTTTAAGGTTTAATGTTGTCCAAAGCCCCATGAATGAAGGAAGAAAATTACCTTTTCCGCACCTCCTAGTTTCTTTTTGGATTTGTGGTCTAATTTCAGTACTGAAGAAAGTAACATCATGTTTACTTTTTTTCATCAATGTTTCCTTACTTTACTATAAAGGATATAGGTTAACGATAATTGCTTAATTACAGTTAGTTGAGTTAACTATAGTTAGTGTATTAGTTAGTAGATTAGTTAATGGATGACAGATGTCATTAAGTGGTTAGTGAGTTAGTTGAAACACTGTAGAAGCTTCTTCTTGTTCATTTTGTATAGCAGCAAACAGAGCATTGCTCTTCTCTAAAATTCTCTCTCGATTCTTCTTCTCTAGTTTCTTCTTCTTAGCTGCATGTGATTGATAAATTCATCATGGTATCAGAGCCACATTAATCGAGTAATTCTAGGGAATTTCTTCGCGGAATTAAAGACAGTTCGAGAGAATCTACTCAAGTTTAGAAGCTTTGGACCCTAATTTTGCAATTTTTCAATGGCAATTTCTGAGAATTTGACTGAAAACAAGAATAATGGAGATAATACGAGCATTGGAGCAATACCTAGCTCAATTGCTTTGGATCACAATCATCCTCTTTACATGCATGCCTCTAATGGTCTAGGATCCATGCCGGTGGGACTCATTTTGACAGGTATGAAAAATTGCTCTCTTTGGAGCCGTGTGATGAAGGTAGCACTGTTAGGTAAGAATAAATTGTGTTTGGTTGATGGATCGACATCTAAGGAAGATTTTGGTCCAAGTTTGGGAAGTCAGTGGGATCGGTGCAATGCAATCGTGACCTCATGGCTTATGAGCAATGTGAGCAGGGATTTAGTAATAGGAGTATTGTTTTCTTCGAATGCACAAAAGGTATGGGCTGCTTTCAAGGAGGGATTCGACAAAGAAACGCATCGAGGCTGTATTACTTGCGCATGGAAATATTTACCTTAACATAGGAAATTTCATCAGTATCGACCTATTTTACCAAGTTAAAGGATCTCTGGGCAGAATATGATTCGATATTGCCACCGCCTCCATCAGCTACTAAGTATATTGATCAATTGGAGTATCAACGATTGCTGCAACTTTTGATGAGATTGAATTATAGCTTTGATCAAGCAAGGAGCCAGATTTTGTTGATGCCAACTTTGCCATCCATAGACAAGGCTTATGCTATGGTGGTCTAGGAAGAAAGCAGGAAATTGATTATTGGTGGTAGCTATGGATATAATGATCCTACTGCCCTATTTACTGCACATTCTACAACTAGATCAAGGAGGAACTATAGTTTAGAATGTTATTTCTGTCATTTGAAAGGCCACACTAGAAATGAATGTTATAAATTG